ATAGATAGATGTTCAGGGAGTGGTCTGATGCTGCACTCACAACTGTCTCAAATCCCCCCCCATTACTTTCCATCATATTTTCTGAAACTCACAACTGTCTCAAATCACCCCCATTACTTTCCATCATATTTTCTGAACAAACCTTTGGATTGATAAGATGGGGACACAGAATTTGACCAAGAGATCCTTCCGCAGAAACTACTCAATGAGCTACGAAATGTTCCTTTCTACACCTGTTAAGAGCAGTAGGTCCAACTTGTTGAATTACTTCTGCAAAGTAACTTCACCGCACCCTCATTGCAGTTGGGGGGGGGAGAGAATTAGCAAGTTAAATTCCTCCTCCCTGTTTGAGATACAAAACTGAGGCTTAGATCTATCCTTCCTGTCTTGTTCTTTTCGCCTCAGACATACTAGCTTAGCAGACAGCGTAGAAGCTCACTGGAGAGACGTAAAACTCAAGGAGGAATAACTGTGCCGCTGACGTGCTGTGACAGACAGAAATGTACATGGAGAAAATGCACGCTTCTCCTCTCTCTGTTTCTCCTCTGTGCCCCTCAAGTGTGAAGAAAGGCTACTCCCCCCTTCCCAGGGGCATCAGAAGAAGCGGAGCAGAGCAAAGGCAGTCAAACCTGAGCAAAATATTGCCTGTGGAACAAAGGAAGGAAGACTCACCTGTTGAATTTCAGCCCAACTGCCAGCCACTAAAAGGGACACGGGGGTGGGGGAGATTCTAAAGCCATTACAGCCTGATTTTCTCATCTCATTTTTGCCCCTCTGCTAGTGAAGGGAGTTAAAGCTAGTTGTATTATGGTGTATCAATAATATCTCTTCCGTGTGTTGCTTGGTGGACAGAATGGCTGGCGCCGTCTCCAGATCTTTTGCTGCCCGAGGCAAAGAGCAAGATGGTGAAGCTCCGTTCCCTATCCAGAAAATGCGCGAATTAGCAGCCGAACTTTAATTTGTTTTCCACTCTCTCTAAACTTTCAAGCCTATGTAACTTTCCCCCTCTAATTAGGGTCTCAGCCTTCAAACTGCATGGCCTGTCCTTTCATTTTAGCTTACCTGCTGGCCGGCTCGGTCTGGGCTTGCTTTTGACGTTTCCATTGTTAGTCATCATCCTCATTCCCGGTCCGCTCATCAGCGTCTGGAGCAAGCATCTGCCGTTTCACAAAAAGGAGCGCCCTAAGTACCAGCCCATGGTTCTGGAAGTGGACCTTAAACTAAATCTAAGAAGCTTAGCTTTAGACATGTGGAGTGCATTGTGATGTCATGGCGGGCGAGCATTGTGATGTCATACCCTTGGAATTCCAACACACCATATTTTGCTGAAGCTGAATAGCACAACCCAGCCTCTGTTGGCTGGGGTTCAATAGGATTCAGTACATCGGAGAGTTCCTGTATAGTTCGGACAAAATTTCAGAGCGGATTCACATCCACTCCCCCTTCCCCATTAAACTGAAGACACTTGCCTCTCCTGGACTCTAGCTGTTGGAGTCCATATAGCTCCCCTGGACTCTAGCTGTTGGAGTCCATATAGAGCAAGCAGGAGGAGGTGACACCTCACTTTTCACCCCAGGTAGCAAAATGCCTCGGTCCAGCTCTGCCGACTGCCTTTCGGTCACTTACCTTCAGTGGGCGGCTTCTGTTCTAATCAAGCCCCAAACCTTGCACAGATTATCTCCACCTTGGCTCATAGGTCCCTATGAAGATGGCCACTTGACCGTCGTCCAAAGGAGAGAGCCGGTGGGTGAGGATAGAAGAGGACACTAATTTTCACATGACTGTTGTGAGTTCGAATCCCCCCACTGTGCCTCCTTGACAGGGGCTGGACTTGATGACCCATAGGGTCCTTTCCGGCTCTGCAGTTATCAGATGATGAAGAAGAAGATTTACAAATTATACAAACAGATGCAAAGCGAGAAATAATTTCTGTACCGTGGGCAAAATTAGAATGCATCTCACTCACGGGGACCTGCCGTCCTCCTGATTCTCCTATATATGCCTAATCGTGATCTCTTCCTGCAATTTGTCCCTGTCAAAGCAGATTTTGAGTGAACTGTCCTTCAAAGGGAGGAACCCTTCAACTGATGGGTGGTCCTCTGGAACACCATAAGATCTTGAGACAGCTGGCAGCTCCTCATGATTTTGCTGCTACCACCTTCCACGCTTCCCGAAGGGGAGGATACCAGCATCTTTCCCAACTCTGTTTAGAGATCCAAGGATTAAATCAAGCTTGTTTCTCTCTGCTGGCGGAGCCTTGATGACAGAGCTGTTGTTATCCTTCTTCTGCAGAAGCTGAGGCTCAGAGCTGGCTGGGTAGCTCTGTGGCTTGGGTCTCTGGCTGCAGGGCCAGAGGTTGGGAATTCGATTCCCCCCCCTTGTGCCTTTTGTGCGTAGAGCCAACCTATGTGGCCTTGGGCAAGCTGTACAATCCCAGAGCGCCCCTAGAGGAAGGGAAGGGTAAATCACTTCTTTGTATTCTCTACCTGTTGATGTCTTCTACTCCTTATGTTGTGTCCAATTCTTCGTGACCCCACGGACCAGAGCACGCCAGGCCCTCCCATCTTCCACTGCCTCCCAGAGTTGGGTCAAATTCACGTTGGTCGCTTCAATGACCCTGTCCAACCATCTCGTCCTCTGCCGTCCCCTCCTCCTCTTGCCTTCACACTTTCCTAACATCAGGGTATTTTCTAAAAGGATTGCCATAAGTCAGAATTGATAGCACATAGTTATTATTATGCCACATAACAGGGGACAGATTGGATTTGTCTTCAGCGTGGAAGGGACGGTCACTCTCGAATTGGCCTCCTCAGCCACACTAGACGCTGTTCCAAGTCCTCCATACAGAGCACGATACCATAGTCTTTCGAGACTGAAGGATGCCTAATTAACTAAATGAGCAAATCTTTCTATTAGGAAAACATTCCCCACATGTTAGGATTCAGAGCTTTCTTGCGACATGAACCTGTGGCTTCATTCTCATAATGTAGACCCCGTCCGTGAATGGGTTTACATTACAAGAGAGAGGGTTTGTTGTTATTAAACATCTGGAGAACATCTGGATGATACAAGCTATTTCACAATGCAACTCTCTGCCTTAGCATTGGTGAGGTGTGCTCTCTTTCCTTAAAAGCTTCAAGATAGAAGTTAGATGTTAGAAGTTAGACCGAGGCGTGCTCTCTTTCCTTAAAAGATAGAAGTTAGATGTTAGAAGTTAGACACCTGGTTGAAAAGGGGAGCAGAAGATGCCTTAAACCGAATCAGTCTCTCTGTCCTTCTAGTTGAGTGTGGTCCATGCTGGTTTTGACCCCTTGTCTGAGATGATGGGGATTGAACTGACAAGCTTCCTCTTACAAAGAAGGGGTCCCTTCCTGGGCAGAAAAAAAGGGGGCTCAGCTGTAGCCCATACCCCTAAATCATTGCCTTTCACATCCGACCTGGAGAAGACCTCGCCGTGTGAGCTTCCTCCGCTTGGTGCCATCCAGAGTCTCGGGGGTCTGGTGGAGAGGCGGAGGCGGCATTGAAAAATCCGTCATGGGAAAAAACGAAGACGTCCTGTTCAAACATAATTATCCTCTCCGTCTGAACCATCACCATCAAAGGGAGGGGGAACGACGCCGAGCCTAAGGGGGAAATGGATCAGCTGGGCTTTGCTTGGTGCAGATTAATCAAGCTTTTCAAAGTTTCATTAGCAGAAAATTGGTCTTCATGGCCAGGAGGAAAGAGGTATTAATCAGCCTTTCCGGGGGAATGAAAGAAATAGGATGTGCTTTTTGGGTGGGGGAGGGGTCTGGTTTCATTCTGCTTTCCTACCCCCCCTCCTGCCATGGTTGCCATCTATTTCATTGGCCTGGCTCCAGTGCCCGCAAGAGAAATTTCGGCAGTCAACCTCTGTGTGGGGTTTTTAGGACACAGGGGCAATTGGGGGGGGGCAGGAGAAGCACCAGTAAAGTTGATTCAATACTTCTAAAGTCTGCCCAGCCGTGGATTTTAAAGCTCTCTGGCTTCTTATTCCCGGTGGTCCCACAAACACACACATGTTAGAGAGGGCTCCTGGGCTTTTAACAGCTCGGGTGGGAAGAGGAGAAAAGCAATGTTTTTTTTTTTTGCTAAACATTGAGAGAAATGTCTTCATGAGAAAAGGTGTTTGACAGTGGAACCCCCGGCCTCAAGATCTGGTGGGTTCCCCTTTGCTTGGAGGCTTCCAAGCAGAACCTGTTCAAGTTACTGTGATCCCTTCTTGCCTGCAGATCCTGCACCGAGTAGGGGGTTGGTCTGGATGACCTCCAGGGACCCCTAGATGCCAACTGCAGGGGACCATTCCTATCTCTGGGGGTCTCTTCTGCTTACCAGCTTTCCTGCAAACTCAGAGGCCCTAAATCCACCGGCCAGTCCCAGAGGGAGCAGGAGATCTTGAATAAACTATAGATCAGTTAAGTCAATAAATACCCTTGATTCAAAGGGTCTGATCGGGTTGGGGGTCAGCGATGAGATCTAGGACCCAGTCGCCACAGGCTTCTCTCTCTCTCTTTGGTGCTTCTCGCCTCCCTCAGTTTGGAGTCCTACTCACAAAGCTCACCCACGCTGGTAAATCATGCAGAGGATGCATTCAGAGGGAGGGTTTAAAAAAACACAACAACTCCCCCAAAGCTCTCCTTGCAAACAGGTTACAGAGGTGGCTGTCAGGGGGAGCAGGAGACAAGGGGACTGTCAGCAGGATCACACTCGCTCCCCAGGGAAACATCCCCCCCCCAATGGCACTGGAGAGAAAGCTAGATGTCTGAGGCTGCCCAGATTATTTCTACTGCATCAGACAGCCACGAGAGGCTCTGACGTCACCAGAAGGAAAGGAAAGGAGGGAGGAAAACCCCCAGAGAGAACAAGAATAGATTTTTTTTCCCCTTCTCTCCCAAGTCTCCAGATTTTCTTTCCCATAACGAAGGGGTAGGCAGGGCAGGTTGGCCGCATGGTCCCCTCTCCAAAGAAATGGGTCAATATGTGCAGAATAATCCGATGTTGTGTGTGTGTGTGTGTTTGTGTGAATGTGGGGGAACACGGTCTGGTCTGAGATTTGCCATGCACCCTGGGGGGGGGGCGATGATTAGAGAAGACAGGGGTGAAGACGGAGGAGGAAGCAGCTGCCGCCAGTGAGACTGATGGAAGATGATGCATTGCAGTCTCTTAATACAGGAAGGCTGTGCTGCAGTCAGTCTGCTGTTTAACTCCGGGCAGGGTTGTGTGTGTGTTTTTTTGTTGGTTTTTTTTTGAAGGAAGGAAGGAAGGAAGGAAGGAGCTGATGATGGATAAAAGGAAGGTTTTTGTTGTTGTTTTTTTGAAGGAAGGAAGGAAGGAGCTGATGATGGATAAAAGGAAGGAAGGAAGGAAGGAGCTGATGATGGATAAAAGGAAGGAAGGAAGGACGGAAGGAGCTGATGATGGATAGAAGGAAGGAAGGCAGGCAGGCATGCAGGCCAGATTTATGCCATGCACAGGAACCTCCAAGTTGCATGTAATCCTGTACAGAATCCCATTAACAAGCTTGTTTCTGCTGCCGACCTCTGTAGAGCAGAGACAGACAGACAGAGACAGACAGAGACACAAGCTTGTTTCTGCTGCTGACCTCTGTAGAGCAGAGACAGATAGACAGACAGACAGAGAGAAGGAGAGGAATATTGTTATAAATCAGTTAAGGAGCTTTTCTCTGCAGTGTTTTAAGACAGTATCAGCCAGGCACAGGGTAAACCCGAGCCTCATGTCCCTCTGGCCGCATCTGGCCCTCCTGAGGGTCCTGATCCAGCCCACCCCCACCCGCCTGTGTTACCAACAAGAACCATAAAAAGCATTGTCCCAGAAGTGGGCCCAGGTTTGCATCCCACATCCGCCTGGGTCCTGGATTCTGCTTCCTGGGTGTTACAAAGCCTTGGACGGGCGACGAGGGGCCGGCCCTACCATTAAGGTCGGAATGGGGACGTCGCTTTGAATAACAAGGTTTTGGAGTATCATGAAAAGGCAGCAAAAGTTTGCACATTTACACCGGTGTACTTGTAGAAAGGGTAGCCACGTTCATCTGTGCAAGCATATTTTTGTTGTGGTTTAGTCGTGTCCGACTCTTTGTGACCCCATGGACAAGAGCACGCCAGGCCCTCCTGTCTTCCACTGCCTCCCGGAGTTGGGTCAGATTCATGTCAGTCGCTTCGATGACACTGTCCATCCATCTTGCGAGGGCGCATTGAGATTAACTTATATATATATATTTTAATGTGAGCTTTCATGGAAAAGTCCACTTCATCAGGTACTGTTTACATTGTTGTTATTGGTTGCCATACTTATTTCTCTCTCTCTTTTTTTCCTTGCAAAAAAACTTTAACAGGGCTCTCGTGTGGCCTCAAGCAGAAACGGCCTTATATGGAGACCCTCGTAGCTATTTAAGGAGTGGTTTTCGCACCTCCGCTCCCCGACTGTGAATTTCCATGTCCAAGTGAGAATTCGAACCCAGGTCCCCTGAGCCTGTCCCACGATTAACTAACTACACCGTACTGGGGACGCTAACAGGGCAACCTTTCTGGAAATTTGTACCCGAAGGATTCAGAAAAGCGACACACGTGGACGGATCTGGTGGTATTCGTAGGCCCTCGTGTGGCTGAAGGGGCATATTACTCCATAAGGTTGAAGCGGCTCATATATTGCAATGTTTCCCTCCAGAAAGACAACTTCTCTGGGTGAATCAACAACCATTGCACTACCCCGAAGACCCACCAAAAAGAGTGGGGTGTGTGGTTGTAGCTGCTTTTTGCTGTTGTCGTGTGCGGTCAAGTCACCCCCCAATTTATGGCAACCCTATGTATCAGTGCTCTCCCAAATATCCTGACCTTAACAGGCCTTGGCTCTTGTAAATACAAGCCTGGGGCTTCCGTTAGGGAACTGGTCCATCTCATATTTAGTCTTCCTCTTTTCCTGCTGCTTTCTAGAGTGGGTGTGGAGGTAAACATACAAAGCAGGTTGGACACTTCTGAAGCCTGCCCAGACTTTGCTCTAAAGCAGTGGTCTCCAACCTTGGGCCTCCAGATGTTCTTGGACTTCAACTCCCAGAAATCCTGACCAGCAGAGGTGGTGGCAAAGGCTTCTGGGAATTGTAGTCCAAGAACATCTGGAGGCCCAAGGTTGGGGACGTGTGCTCTAAAGGACTCCCGGGGGAGGTCCCTCCATCCCACATTAGACAGTGTTCCCCCATGTTTAGCAGCAAGGAAGAAGCCATAAGTTAAAAAAAATTAATTAGAATTAATTAGAGGTGCAGACCATGTCAGTGGCGGTGGTAATCAGAGCTTCCACCCCAACGGGAATCCACTTTCCTCCCCATCAGATGTGCCCTCCATGCCCTCTTCTTCCTTTCTTGGGGACATATTTCCAGACCTCCACTTTCGGCCTCGCTGTCAGCTTCCAGGAGGCAGGCCAGCGGCATCTCTCCCCTCCTTCTTCTGACGGACAAAGTACAAATTTCACGTCTCCTTATCAAGCGCAATCAGTCTGGATTCCTTTCCTCCCCAGAGACGTCCCGCTGGAGAAAAAAAAAATACACCTGCGAGAGGTGTCCAGGGGAGACCATCTCGTGCGCCTCCTTGGCGGGTCATCCTCCTTCCGGTTTGTCCACATTCTTGCCTGCTCGCCTCCAAGAGCGCAGCCCTCCAGACGGGTAAGCAGGCCTAGCGGTCGTACCCAGAGAGGGGCAAAGGGAAGGAAGGGGCTCTCTCTCTCTCTCTCTGGCCCTAAAGATAAGATAAAGGAGGAAAATCCAGGATGCAGGAGAAGAGAGTAAAAAACTTGGGAAGGGTTGGAGAAGATCCGGAGAACGAGCAGAAATGGGTAGACGCTTGTCCTCTGTCTCTTCTTCAGCCATTAAGTGGAGGGAAGGGGTTTTAAGAGCAGTGACAGGAGGACACCCTCCCCAAAAGGACAGGCCAGAGAAAGAGGCCCCCTCTCCCTCCATCCGGCTGGACCACCCTCTTTCGGAGCTGCCCTCCAGATTTTACGAAGCCGAAAGGCGGAAGAGAGAGGCGCCACTTTCTCCTTCTAACCTTTGCCTTCTTCTCTTTTTTTTCTTCCCTTTGCCTTCCCAGGTTACATAACCGGGCCACTGCCCGCAGGCACACCGCCCTGGAGCGTAATATTTGCACAGGTAAGTGGCAAGTTCCACCTGCCTCTGAGACGGGCGAGTCCCACAGCGTCAACAGCCCCTTCTGTTCCTGTTTCACGGAGGTAGAGACCACAGCCCCGGACAGGTAGATCCTGGTGTCCCAGTAGGGCCCAGTTCCGAGCCCCGGGAGCACCTTTAAGGAAGGGCTGGGAGCTTCCTTATCCTGCACCAGACTCTGGGTCTATACTCCTCTATTGTCAGCTGTGACCGGGAGAAGCAAGTGTCCAGGGCTTCCGGCAGGATCCTCTCCAAGCTGGTCTGGACCCATATATTCTCTCATCCAAGCTTGATTTTGCTTGTCTTGCAAAATTCAGTGGGGTTTCTGCCTTGATGTCTCACCAGATTCCAACCCTAATAGAGTTGGACATGATTCCAAAGCTGCGCAAACGTTGGTCTCTCTGTTCTGACCCTGCTTCTGTGGTCCAACCTACAAGAAACAGCTCAAGCGTTTACTATGGGCACCCAGGGCTTGCCCAAATTGCCATCCTCTAGATGTGTTTGGGCTACAGCTGCTATCAGTCCTGCTGGCGAAGGGCGATGGGGGCTGGGATCCAACAGAGGAAGAGCAGGAGCTCCCCAGATGCTCTTGGACTACAGCTCCCAGAGATCCTGGCCAGCACCGCTAGTGGTGAAAAGGCTCCTGGGAATTGCAGTCCAAGAACATCTGGGTTCCCCAGTTTGAGAGCCACTGAGCTTGAGAAAGAGGGGAAGGAAATCTAAAGGTTGCCCAGACAGCCATCATCCTTTTGGAGCCTGCTAATGTTCTGCTTCTCAATAGGGATGGGATTTTCAGAATTCTTGGACTATGCTGCCCATAATTCTCCATTCTTGGAGTTTTACCCAACTGACATAACACTTACGTAAATGTCACTCCCCAGGGAGAACAGCCTCTGAGGCTGGTCTAAGGTCTTTTCTCTTGATGCTGACAAACACAGAACATCCCCACTTGGCTTTTAGACCTTATTATTTCTTCCCTCTCCTCCCCAGGGCAGGAATCCGCAAGGGATGATGGCTGGGCCGGACATGCCATGCTCCCCCGACAGCCGAAACATCAGCCCGAGTTCTACGGTTTTGAATCTCAGCGACACCGACCTCGGAGCGGAGGATGAAGAGAAAATCTGTGCCGTGTGCGGAGACCGGGCCACCGGCTACCACTTCCACGCCATGACCTGTGAAGGCTGCAAGGGCTTCTTCCGGTAGCCCTTGAACACTTCCCTCGCTGAACGTCCTCTACGGGCTTCATGTTGGGGTTTGGTGGGGTGGGATCGGATTGGAGATCCCCAAGTGATTTTCCGTTGCAGGGCCACATCTGGACACCTAGGCGATGATCTCTCACGTTTTGTCTCTCTGTCTCTCCCAGGCGGACCGTCCTGAAGGGCACCCAGTTCACCTGCCCTTTCGCCCGCAGCTGCACCATCACCAAAGCCAAACGCCGGCAGTGCCAGGCCTGTCGGTACCAAAAATGCCTGGCCGTGGGCATGAAGAAAGACAGTGAGTAGACTCAGGTTCATCCTGTCTTGCTTGGTTTTTTTCTTGAGAACACAAGACACAACGGCCTTGTGGAAGCATAGGAGGCCTGCACCAGGGGGATACCTGGATTCATGACGGCCTGGGAATTTCTCTCTGTCCGAAATTCCTTTGACCCTAGAAGGAGAGGCGGGAGGCAGCTGTGTCCGAGGTGCTGCGCTTGCTCTGGGCCTTCTAGACCCTGCGCTGAGCAGGGGTTGGTCTAGATAACCTCCAGGGATCTCTGGATGTCCATTATGGGAGGAGAGGGGTTAATCAAGAGGTTAGGTTTGCGGCTCTGTCTGCTGTGCTTTACTTGCTTCCTGAAAACTCTCATGCCTCCATCTGATGGCTAAGCCTGGCTGGAGTAGATAACCTTGACTAAATGAGGAAATAACATGTCAACGATTAGATAAATCCCAACACTTCAATGGTTCTACTCTAGTTGGGTCTACTCTAGCAATGAGATTTAGGGCACCATCACCATTACTAGGAAACCAGGATATTGACCTGCTCTTTCTTCCCATCCATCAGCTTACCCTGTCTCTAGAACATGGACCATGCCATCTGAATTGTATCCACTCCCCAGAGGTCCCCTCCATGGCACTGGAAAGAAAGCTGGATGCAGGACCCTGGATGGATGGATGGATGGATGGATGGATGGATGGATGGATGGATGGATGGATGGATGGAGGTCAGCAACACAATTCCCTTCAAAAAGCTACATGGAGTAATTCCATCTGGGTGAAAACAGAGGTCAGGGTTGGAACTGAGATTAGTAGTGCACCCTAGGGCAACAATTAGGAAGGATGAGAGGGGGGTTTTGCTATGTAGAAAAGGAGTGGACAACGCTATTGTGTTAGCCATCTGATGGCTAAGCCTGACTGGAGTAGATAACCTTGACTAAATGAGGAGTGGACAACGCTATTGTGTTGTTTGCCTCAGGCGTCAAAATGTCTTGGTCTGCCTTCAGAGTGGACCACCTGGGACGCAGGTCTCTTCTCCATAAACCCTGTTTTCCATTTCCAGTGATCATGTCCGAGGAGGCGCTGTGCGCGCGCCGGGAGCTGCGGCGTCAAAAGCAGCACGGCGAGCCGAATCCTCCGGCACAGCAGACCGAAAAGGGCAGCCTCACGGCGGATCAACAGGAGTTGATCGAGATCCTCTCCGAAGCCTACAAGAAAAACGTGGACTCCAGCTTTTCCCAGTTCACGTACTATCAAGTGAGCTACTACCAACTTTTTATCCTAACTCCCAGTACAGGCTGGTGACTCCCACGTCACTAGGAAGAGAGAGTGAATCCGTTCCACCTTTTGGTCCGAACTTTAAAGAAGCGATTACTGGTGCTGAAGCTCCCTTGGCAAGAGGATCCGGCTCCTTGGAAAGCTCCCTTAACGTTCTGACTAAAGTCCCCACCCTGGACAGCGTCACCACCCCATCCATCAAGACCAATTATAGATTACAGATATAACCCATTGTAGGGAGGGGGAACTCCCCAAGGGACGATTGTGTGTGATTGGTTCTGCCGGTGTTTTTCATACTGTCCTTTCCAAATCAGCCTGCTTCCATTTCTGATTGGCCCATGTAAGAGCCATCATTTGCAAATCTCACCCTCCCCTTCTCCAGAGATCCCAGAAAGACCACAACTCAAAGAATTACTTAGTAAGCGTGTGTTATGTCCCTTCAAGCTGCATCTGAGTTTTAACTCTTTAACAGGGTTACCAAATTACGTCAGATATTTAAAGAGTTTTTTTAAAAAACTAGTCTCACTCCCTAATGGGTTTCGACAGCAGACTGGGGATTTGAACCCCGTTCTCCTGAATCTAGGTTGTCACCACATGGACCATAAGAACTGCAGTTATATTGGTTCATGCTGTTATTTAAATAACTTTATAATTTTCCATTCTCATGACCTTTGGGTAAAGTTCATTCACTTGGCTAAGGTTTTTTTTTTCAACCTTGCTGGCATGGGCTTTTTAAAATGATCTGATCCATGAATGGATTCTATCCTCATCAGCATGGCATGTGTGAATATCAATTTACTTTGTACCCAGATATGTTTTTTGCACCGTGGCCACTGCATGACCATTGCTCTTGTTCCCTCCCCAAATGCTAAGCGATGTATCAGTATTCTCTCCCCCAAGAGTTTGCCGCTGCATTACTTCCTTATTGTCAACATGGAGAAACGCGCCACCTAGTGTCCTGTGAGCAACGAAGCACCCTAAAACCAAAGAACTGCCAAGGGAAAGCTTGCATTATGAAATACCGCCTTCTAAAGTTTTTCACACAAATTTAGATGCTGCTTTAACGACCTGTACATGCTGTATTAAGCTGTTTTAGCACAGTGCGCTCCTGAAACAGAATGGAAAATGAGTCAGGTTGGGTAGGCGTGTATAGCCAACAAAACGTGTTCAAAGTTCAAGAGAAAGAAAAAAAAACAAGTGAATGTACCCAGTGAGTTGCATAGTGTGTGATTATAATATAGGTAGAAATGAAGAAGGAAATTGAAACGATTCGAATGGCCACTGTGATTAGGCCCTTAGTCCATCATACGGTGGGGACACAGGAAAGGGCCTTCTCGGTGGCTGCTCCCAGACTTTGGAACTCACTCCCACTGGAAACCAGCCTGGCCCCATCTTGGTTCTCCTTCCGCATGCAGCCAAAGAACTTTCTCTTCAGGCAGGCTTTCCCCGACCAACTGGTTCCCTGAGCGGGGCTTTTAAATGGATGGTTTTGTACTTTCCTGCTCTGAATGCGTTGTTGGTATTGCTTTTGCTTACTGGTTTTTTCATGGGGGTATGGGTCTGGTCTTTTAAAATATCTGTATACTTAACCGTTTTCAGCTTTAACTATTCCTTTTTAATGATGTAAGCCACCTTAGGTCCTTTAAGGAGAAATGTGGGTTAATATATATACAGTATTTATACATATATACGTACACGAATGACGGTAGGAAGACTGAGAAATTTGTATTATTGGCTCAAAGAAATAGAAACCTGTGATCTGCCTTTGGCTTTTTCCTCCTTGCTCCAGCCTTCTGTGCGCCTGCACATCCAAAGTCCAAAATCTCAGGGTGTCGCCTCTTCCTCTCCTTCTCAAGAGCCGACGGACGGCGGTCTAGAGGAAGTCCTGCCGGACGTCTTCTCCGTCTTGCCGTGGCTTGCCGATCTCAGCACCTTCATGATCCAGCAAGTGATCCAGTTTGCTAAAGGCATCCCGTTTTTTAGGTGAGTCCGGGGTGCAGGGCGACGCTCGCTCGGGCAACTCCTTCGGGACGGCGTGATTTCGCTGGAACGGATTAACTTCAAGCAAGGCACCACTGTAAAATGTTTAATTGTTTAATGGCTGGGTTTGGGATATACGTGTAATAGTTCATCCTGCGGTGTGCACCATTTGGGATGTCTTTGGACAGAAAGATGCCAAATAAATAAAAATAAATAGAGGATAAATAAGTTGGGGAGACCTCACCAAAATACAAGCTTACACAAAAGACAGGTTGCATTATTTTGAGCTGGTTGAAAGCCCTGATCCGCCTTTTCTTGTCTCCCCACCTACTCACCAGAGCCTTACCAGTGGAAGATCAGATTTCTCTCCTGAAAGGATCCACCCTTCAGATCTGCGCGATCCAGTTCAACATGACCTTTGATCTGGAAAACAATGTTTGGGTGTGTGGCCCCCACTGCTATTCGGTCAAACAGGGCACCCGGGGTAAGTGACGGGAAGCAGAAGACCCCAGCTAGCATGGATTCTGGGAGCTGTATATTGGAGGGGGGGGGGAAGCAACACGTAAAAAATTTCTGGCTCCTCGTAGATGGAAGAGTTTTATCTGGCACAAGCTTGGGTGGGTTTTGGTTCACTTTGTCAGGGGAAATCCACAAACGCACAAATCTGGTCTGGGGGGGGGTCACAAAATGCCAGGGTTCGAAGGATTAGCCCAATCCAGGGGTCTTGAAAGCGGTAACTGGTGGGTGGATTGTGTTGTTGAGCCCTCGCATGGTCAAAAGTGAGCGTTGACTCAAGTGGATCCAGAGGGACCTTGGAGACGATTGGTCTTTCTGGCATTACTTTCTTCTTCTAACATAAGCCTTTCTGCTCGTCCAAAACTCCCCATGCTTTGACGCCGAGGTTCCTAATGCAACACGTTTCAATTTACGGGCAAACCTTGTCCCCCGACCCTTTTCTCTTCCAGCCGGTTTTCAGCAAACCCACCTGGAGCTGGTGCAGAAGTTTCATGTCAGCTTACGGAAGCTGAATTTACACGACACCGAATATATTCTTTTGCAGGCTTTGCTGCTGTTCTCTCCCGGTAAGTAAATACTTGGGAACCTCCGAGGCCACCTTCCTTCCTTAAATCAAGGGGATCTCAAAACCCTGCCTGACTAGGGTGACACCAGAATGTAGGGGTGAAGACCTTCTTCTATATCCACCTACAGCTGCTGGTTCCATGAGCCAAAATAATAGGAAACCTTGCTTTTTAATTTAAAGTCTGGCATCTCACAAAGAATATGCAAAGCATGGGCTACCCAAAAGGGAAACTTTTTAAAAATTCTATGTTTTTCTCAACATATGTTGACTATTAGTTATTAGGCAGTACGAGGCCACCGGTTCGGCAAAGGTAGCTTTCCCCCACCCATGCTCCTGAAAATCAGTCATCAAATGGAGCAAGAGAATTTACTGTATTTTTCTGTGTATAAAACTATACTATTGTCTAAAATCTTTAGACTAAAAATTGAGGGTCGTCTTAGACACGGGCATAAGCTGAGGAGGGAACAAAAACAAGTGGAGGGGAAAGCAGGGATCAAAGCGATCCTGCAGCGCTTTGATCCCTTTCCCCCTACACTTGCTAAGTCCCACTTAGATTTCTTAATTTTGGGTTAGAAAAGTGGGGGGCATCTTATACATAGGGGCGTCTTATACAAGGAAAAATATGGTATTTAACCCTTATGGTGAAAGAGGTTTGGGCTGTGACACTCTGATGCTCACCTGACCTAAGCATTCTAATCATGGGCTAACTAGGATGTTGGTTTTTTGGTTGAAGTGGACAGCACTCCACGAAAGCACGGCATCATAATAAATCTTCAGGGTACAGCCCAGAGTTTCTGAAGTGGCACCTCCTTCCCTGTTTTATAGGTAAAGGAGGCTTCTATCATCCCATCCCCAGATGTAGGTCTTCTTTTAGGACATGCTTGGGAGGAACTGCCAGGCTTCCTTGGGCCAGGGGGGAAAAGGCTTGCCTCTCTGCTTCCGTGTCTCGTCTGCCTTGCCTCTCACCGGCCAAACCTGCCCCTTTGCAGACGACGTGACGGTCACGCAGCGAGAGGCCGTGGACCAGATCCAGGAGAGAATTGCGCTGACCCTCAAAAGCTACATCGACCACTGCCACCCTCTGCCCGAAGGCAGGTGAGTGAGTTGTGCGTGTGTGTGTGCTTTGGGAGATGCTGTATGAAGCAGCGGCAACGTTACAGTCCAAATAAAGAGAGAAATGGTGTGTCTACAACTGGGCTACAATTCCCAAGAGCCAGCATGGCTGGGGATCTGGGATCATCGGCGTTATGGTTGAAAGCAGACATCAAGGTTTAGAAAACGGGCTTCCAAAGAGTATGGTGGTCAGTCGATTTTATTTGCTAGTCCTGGGGTGGGCCAGTTGTGGCCCTTCTTATGTTGGATTTCTATGGGGAGCATCCCGGGCCAGGGGATGATGGGCGTTGTAATCCAGTTCCTGGTAGTCCACAGGTTGCCAACTCATTGTTTTATTCTTACAGTTTATGGGGAGTCCTCTTTTTAAGTTGGGAACAATTTAATACTACCTGCATCGATAGCGCGTGGGAAATCCATGCTGCGTGGGAAAATCAGCCCATGCATTCTGGACCTCTGAGGGCGCTCTACCCAGAAAGGCTCGCCATAACTCAGAATGGACTTGACGGCATAGGATGATTCATTATCATAGCCTAGAAGAGGGAGACATAAAAGCAAAAGGCAGATAATGCATCTCCAGGTAGTAAAATGGTTAAAATTAAAAATCTATAGTATTAGATATAAGATCCCTCCCCTTTTCTAACCCAAAATTAAGAAATCTAAGTGGGGCTTAGCAAGTGTAGGGGGAAAGGGATCAAAGTGCTGCAGGATCGCTTGATCCCTGCTTTCCCCTCCACTTGTTTTTTCTCTCTTCTTAGCTTACTTCCGTGTATAAGACGACCCTCATTTTTTAGTCTAAAGATTTTAGACAAAAGTATAGTCTTATACACGAAAAAATATGGTAAGTTTCTGTTTGTTTACCCTCATCTGGTTCATTATTGACCCACAGAAACTGGTCTAGAACTGAAGTAGCTTCCTCTGATTTAGGTGGCAAGGAGAGGCAGAGTTGGACGTCATCCGCAGACGGGTGACACCGAACCCCAAAACTCCAGACAGCATCTCACACGGGTTTCATGTAGATATTGAATAAGGTGGGAGACAAAACAGAACCCCACAGGTCAGCGAGCACGGTGTCAAACAGAAGTCACCGAGCACCACATTCTATTATTGCTGTGATTGCTATCCACTGATGTAGGATATACGGAACTGGGGATTGCCTTGCCAAGATTTTCTTAAATCAGGACAATCTATAATCCATATAATTATCCCCCCCCCAAAAGTTGGCACTGTTGGATTACAAAGGTCACGTCAACCCTGCCTTACATCATTACAAACTGTGTTTACGATAATCTCCTATATTCACACATTTTAACCGCAGAATTCTTTGCGGAGCCGTTCCGTTGCCAGGGCATTAATGAATTCAGCGTGGCCCAGCGTTGCCACAGGTGGCTCATGGCTTTGAAAAGAACCGAGTTCAAACGGCGGTGTTAAAACTTGTTTCACTTTTAAAGCACTTTTCCCCCCCTGCACCTCTGTAGACATTTTAGTATTTTTCTAACTCTCTTAAAACATCCAAGGTCTCAAAAAATGACAATGGCGGAAGCTTCTCATGGTCCAGAGATAGGCATGCTTGTTCTCTGGAGACTGACGAATATCCACTTTAGGTACAAGAAGAGTAACCGTCCCGAAGAACAGGGATGAAGGGATAGATATGAGAATGAAATAGACTGGAGCTACAGGGGCTCTTTCTTCCATCCGTCTTGTCTAGGTTCCTCTATGCCAAACTTCTCCTGCTGCTGACGGAGCTACGGACCTTGAAAGTGGAGGGCAAGCGCCAGATTCAACACATCCACAGCAGCGAAGACCTGATCTCTATGATGCCGCTGCTTTCAGAAATTATCAGCTGAACGCTCGAAGGCGGAGGGGCCGGTTTTCTTGCTCTGCAAGTTAAATTGCCTTTGCAGGCCATTCAAAATTGTGCTCGCCTGGAGAAAAGGCCCAGCTGGCCGACTTCCTGCCTGGGATAGGCCTAACTTCCTGTTTGAAAAGGAAGCTTCCCGGTCAGCATTAAGGCAACTCTTTTTTTTCACACTAAGACTTGAAGACCAGTAGCTGAGCCCTCTCTCTGGGTGAGCACCGTTTAGGCGTTTGTAAGATCTGGCTCCAGCAGGTGGGGCTTCCAGATAGGAGAAGTATGGGATTTGTAGTAAAAAGAAATTTGAAATGCATGCTCCTAGTCCCTCTGCTTCAAAAGAGGTCTGCCATCCTCTTGAGCTAAGGATCTAGTGGTATGTTAAGGACCAGCACATTTTATTTGGCTTAAGCACTCATGGATTGTAGTCCGGTTCTCCAGAAGCATAAGATACAGACTCAGAAGGTATGAGTTCTTAAAAACTAAAAGTGGATTTCCGGCCACTTTTCTGCTTGTTTTCTTTTTTCTTTCTCATTTTTGGCCAAAGATGTGGTTCTGGATGAACCTAGGGCAGGAAACTAGTCCTCATGAAGCGATCAAACGTGCCCACCTCTGCTGTCTGTCATGATTTAGAAACGTGACCCGTGTGTGCTTTAACGCCGCGGAATAAGGCATTTTAATCTCTTGCTCTCCCTTAACAGCACTTCAACGGCGAATTAAAAGGACTGGTTTTATATTTCCATTCCTCATACGGATGTCTCTTTTCACTGAGAGTGTTTCTTCTCCTGGTCCTCATGTTTGACCAACTGGATGTTTGCCAAAAGAAACCACCAAGAAGAATCTGTGTTTGGCAGCTAAAAAAGCTTCATAAAGGAGGGTTGCTGCAGTGAGCATCTTGGGTGCGGAAAACAACAACTGTACATCTTAGTGTCAATGAAAAATTTGTGTCCATGTGCGATTGCTTGTCCATCATTCCGAGAGCGTGAACCCCTAGCTGTGTATTTCTGCCAATGTATGATATTACAGAGGATATATATCTGACTGTGGCAGATCTCCTAGACATGAAACTTGACCCACTGAAACTTGGCTTGCATACGGAAAATATCTTTGTTTTCTCAGAAACTTTGAGTAATTTTTATGACTGTAAACATGTCCGTGTATATAAAGTCTGTAGTACCATTTTCAGTCATTGGATGGCAGACATCCCTAATCACTACATACCATATTTTTCCATGTATAAAATGACACTTTCCCCTAAAATAATTAAAGGAAAAATTTGAGAGTCATTTTATACACGGAACTAATGGAGGGGGGAAGCAGGAATCACATTCCCCTTTTCATTTTCTTTGCAAAACATGGAGGGGGAAGCAACTTTGTGCAATGAAAGGGGAGGGGGAAAGCAGGAATCGCTTTCCTCTTTTCATTTTCTTTGCAAAATGTGGAGGGGGAAAGCAGCTTTTTGCAAAGAAAGTGGAGGGGGGAAGCAGGAATTGATTTCCCCCTCAACTTTCTTGCAAAGAAAGAAATTTTGAGTTAGAAAAGTGGGGGCGTCTTATACATGGGGGTGCCTTATACACTGAAAAATACAGTAGGTTTATTATTGTAGAAGGTATATAGCTGTGGAGGTGGGAGATCTCGTAGGCTGCAGGTTTAGAGCAGGTGGATTTCATGGGAGCGCAGATTAGTACTAGCTGGTTGAAGCAGTGGTTGGGTTGGGGTGTGTTGTGGGAGGGGGGACCGGAGTTGTCCAGAGCCATTAGTGGTTTCATATCGCAACCTGGGCAGGATATAAGATGAAAAATAGCAGGCGAGGCACTGCATAGTCCTTGCACACACATTGACACCCCTGCATGGTAGAGAGGCAAAATCCATACATTCTTCACTAAGAGATTTGACCTTCTGGGAAGCCCAGAAAGAGAAAAAGCTGAAAGATTGAGAAAGAGCCCCATAAGGGATCCTTGAAAAGCAAGGCAATGGAATATACTCTATACCCCAGGTAAAGCCAACCAGATCCTTAGGTTGAACCACCAGGGCTAAGAAACCTTCTGATCTGGTGACATTCTCTAGGACAGCAAAAATGTTTCAACCCTGACCAGTGAGTGGATCATGTCCTGAGCCAAGCCGGCTTGCTCTCATGACCGCGATCATCCTGAGAGCAAAGGATCTTCTCCATTTGTGTCAGAAGGAATCGGGCGGTTCTTCCAGTGGAAGGATCAGCCAATGGAGGGCTGTGGTTGCCCAGGGGATATCCGAATATATTCTAAGACCTCACATTTTGGGGGAGGCCCCTTCCCTGTTCCCCAGTTCAGGGATGAGTTTAGATAATGCAGAGAGATGATAGATAGATAGATAGATAGATAGATAGATAGATAGATAGATAGATAGATAGATAGATAGATAGATAGATAGATAGATAGATAGATAGATAGATAGATAGATAGATAGATAGATAATGGTACCAATTCCACCCGTCTTGCACTTGTGGGTAAGTGGCCAAACTACACCACCCGTGAACCCAGCGAGGTCTCTAGGCAGAAATAAAGGGAGCCCCATGGACAGGAATCATTTGGTTCAAGGACACAGCTAGGGAATACCAGGGCTCTAAAAACTGGTTTGAGGAAAAGCTCAAAAAATAGGTCTAGCACTCTTTATATTTGCCTACACCTATTAAAGCACTCTTGGTCTTTCTGTGGAGCCCGAGGTTGGGAGTTCAATTCCCCTACTGTGCCTTCTGCGCATACTGTACAGCCAGCCTGGGTAGCCTTGGGCAAGCTGCACAGTCCCAGGGCTCCCCCTAGAGGAAGGGAAGGGTAAAGCACTTTGGAGTAGACTCATCCTAGAAAACTCTGAAAAAAATGGCCATGAGTCAGAATTGACTTGATGGTACATGTTGATGATTAAACACATCCTCATTGGACAGGACTCCTGGGTTTTAAAAGATCCATGCCAAGCAGAGGGCACACCCACAAACAACTTTGAATATGAACATCGGGGGAGTGGCGGTAGGACCTTGAGCTTCCACCCCAAGGGGAATCTACTTTCCTTCCCATCCGATCTGCCCTCCACGCCCTCTTCTTCCTTCCTTGGGGACGTATTTCCAGACCTCCACTTTTGGCCTCGCTCACCCCTGCTGTCGGCTTCCAGGAGGCAGGCCAGCGGCATCTCTCCCCTCCTTCCCGCTCTGACGGACAAAGTACAAATTTCACCTCTCCTTATCAAACGCAATCAGTCTGGATTGTTTTTCTCCCCAGAGACACCACTGGAGAAAAAAAAATACACCTGCGAGAAGTGCCCAGGGCAGAAAATCACACACCTCCTTGGCTGGTCATCCTCCTTCCGGTTTGTCCACATTCTTGCCCGCTCGCCTCCAAGAGCGCAGCCCTCCGGACGGGTAAGCAGGCCTAGCGGTCGTACCCAGAGAGGGGCAAAGGGAAGGAAGGGGCTCTCCCTCTCTCTCTCTCTGGCCCTAAAGATAAGATGAAGGGGGAAAATCCAGGATGCAGGAGAAGAGAGGAAAAAACTTGGGAACAGTTGGAGAAGGTCCGGAGGATGAACAGAAATGAGCAGACGCCCGTCCTCTGTCTCTTCTTCAGCCGTTAAGTGGAGGGAAGGGGTTTTAAGAGCAGTGACAGGAGGGCCCCCTCCCCAAAACTACTCCTCTGGAAAGAGCCCCCCCATCCGGCTGGACCACCCTCTTTCGGAGCTGCCCTCCAGATTTTACGAAGCCGAAAGGCGGAAGAGAGAGGCGCCACTTTCTCCTTCTAAACTTTGCCTTCGGTTCCTGCTGCTTCTTTCTTTTTTCCTTTCCCTTCCCAGGTTACATAACCGGGCCACTGCCCGCAGGCGCACCGCCCTGGAACGTAATATTTGCACAGGTAAGTGGCAAGTTCCACCTGCCTCTGAGATCGGCGAGTCCCGCAGCGTCAACAGCCCCTTCCTTTCCTGTTTCACGGAGGTAGAGACCACAGCCCCGGACAGGTAGATCCTGGTGTCCCAGTAGGGCCCAGTTCCGAGCCCCAGGGAGCATATTTAAGGAAGGGCCGGGAGCTGCCTTGTCCTGCATCAGACTCTGGGTTTATTTAGTGTGGTATTATTATCAGCTGTGCCCAGTAGTAGCAAGTGTCCAGGGCTTCAGCCATGGTCCTGATAATAATTGCATGTCCTCAAGTCAATTCTGACATATGGAGACCTTTTCTATTGTTTTCTTGGCAGAGAACACTCAGAAGTGGTTTATTCCATCATTCCATTATTCAGGGGGTATCCTAGGACTGTGCAGCTTGCCCAGGGCTACACAGGCTGGCTCTTCACCTAGGAGGCACAGCGAGGAATCAATCTCGAAATTTCTGGCTCCACAGCCAGAAATCTGAACCACCGAGCTATCCAGCCAGCTCCTAGCTGACTGCAAGGACCTTATACATTCCCGGGGTGGGGTGGGGTGTGTGTTTCTCATCCAAGATTCATTTTGCTTTTCTTGCAAAATTCAGTGAGATTTCTGCCTTGGTGCCTCACGGGATTCTGACCATAATGGAGTGTTACACGATTCGAAAATTGTGCATACTTTGGTCTTCTTTTCTGTCAGAATTCTTGAACTACAAAACCCATAATTCTCTATTTTGGGAGTTCTACCTTGCTTACAGATATCTAAATATGGCTCATCTGGGAGGATGGCTCATGTGGAATGGTCTGAGGCCGATCGAGGGCCTTTTCTCTTGATGTTGCAGTGTTTGACTGACACAGAGCGACACTAGAGCACCCCCACCTGTCTTTTCAACCTTATTAGGTGGCTGGGCTTGAGCATCCCTGATTTCCTCCCTCTTCTCCCCAGGGCAGGCTCTCCAAGGGACAATGGCTGGGCCGGCCACACCATCCTCCCCCGACAGCCAAAACACCATCTGGAGCTCCACGACTTTGAGTCACACCGACAAGGACCTTGAGGAGGACGAAGAGAAAATCTGTGCCGTGTGCGGAGACCGGGCCACCGGCTACCACTTCCACGCCATGACCTGTGAAGGCTGCAAGGGCTTCTTCCGGTAGCCCTTGAACACTTCCCTCGCTGAACGTCCTCTACGGGCTTCATGTTGGGGTTTGGTGGGGTGGGATCGGATTGGAGATCCCCAAGTGATTTTCCGTTGCAGGGCCACATCCAGGCATCTATGAGATGATCTCCGTTTTGTCTCTGTGTCTCCCAGGCGGACCGTCCTGAAGGGCACCCAGTTCACCTGCCCTTTCGCCCGCAGCTGCACCATCACCAAAGCCAAACGCCGGCAGTGCCAGGCCTGTCGGTACCAAAAATGCCTGGCCGTGGGCATGAAGAAAGACAGTGAGTAGACCCAGGTTCATCTTGTCATGTTTGGGTTTTTTCTTGAGAACGCAAGACTCAACTGCCTTGTCGTAGCAAAGGCGGGCTGCCCCAGGGGACGCTTGGATTCATGATGGGCTGGGAATATCTCTCTGACCAAAATTCCTTTGACCCTAGAAGTAGAGGCGGGAGGCCCCCATGTCGGAGGTGCTGCGCTTGCTCTGGGCCTTCTAGACCCTGCGCTGAGCAGGGGTTGGTCTAGATAACCTCCAGGGATCCCTGGATGCCCATTATGGTTAACCAAGAGGATATGTTTGTTGGTCTGTCTGCTGTGCTTTACTTGCTTCCTGAAAACTCTCATGCCTCCATCTGATGGCTAAGCCTGGCTGGAGTAGATAACCTTGACTAAATGAGGAAATAACATGTCAACGATTACATAAATCCCAACACGTCAATGGGTCTATTCTAGTTGGGGCTCTCTCTCTCTCTCGTTGTTCGTACTTTCTTTTATTCGGCCTTCCTACTCATAAAATTCGTCAGTGCAGGCAAGCCAACATTGTGTTGTTTTGCCTCAGGCGTCAAAATGTCTTGGTCTGCCTTCAGGTCAGTGGGCCACCAGAGACACAGGTCTCCTCTCTGTAAACCCTGTTTTCCATTTCCAGTGATCATGTCCGAGGAGGCGCTGTGCGCGCGCCGGGAGCTGCGGCGTCAAAAGCAGCACGGCGAGCCGAATCCTCCGGCACAGCAGACCGAAAAGGGCAGCCTCACGGCGGATCAACAGGAGTTGATCGAGATCCTCTCCGAAGCCTACAAGAAAAACGTGGACTCCAGCTTCTCCCCGTTCACATATTACCAAGTGAGCTGGTCTCTTTCTTTCTCTTTTTTTGGGGGTGTGTGTCCCTTCCCCTAACTATCACAACAATCCCCACTAAGGCAGGCTACACATGACAGATCACTGGGAGAGAACACTCCCTAAATACTGGTTTCTGTTGTTTTTAATGTATTTTTAGTACTCCGTTTCTCTAAGCAGTTGTCAGACCTTTTTCTGACATTGGAATAATATATTATTTCGAAGCTTTGATACAGCTTCCTTCTTAATCTTGGAAGCTTCTTTGAGGCCTTTGTTTGGGGGGAAAAAGGTTGGATAAAAATACTTTAAATACGTAAATAAATTGAGGGAGGGGACCGCTGTAAGAGCAGTGGCCACTTATAGGGAAGACATCCTCCTACACCCTGTGGCTTGCACAAATCAGGGATGCGGGCAAATCTTTGAGTTCAAGCCCCAAGGATGAATCTTTGGTACCAAGTCGTGAATCCTGGGTGGGAACGGCGGGAGGAGAACAGTCGTGAGTTCCAGACCACAAAATATCTGAGCTGGTAAACCTGTTTTGGCTATACAGTGGTGCCTCGCTAGACAGTTACCCTGCATGACAGTTTTTTCACTAGACATTGGCTTTTTGCGATCGCTATAGAGATTCGCAAAACAGTGATTCCTATGGGGGAATTTCGCTGGACAATGTTTGGTCCCTGCTTCGCAAACCGATTTTCGCTAGACGACGATTTTGACAGCTCCCTCCGCGCTCAGAAACAGATGTTTTCGGGACCTAAGCTAAGCAAGACAGCGATTTAAACAGCCGATCGGCAATTCGCAAAGCGGCTTTCCTATGGCTGATCTTCACTAGACAACGACGATTCTTCCCCATTGGAACGCATTAAACAGGTTTCAATGCATTCCAATGGAGAAATGCTTTTCGCTAGATGATGATTTCGCTAAACAGCGATTTCAGTGGAACGGATTATCATCGTCACCCGCACTCAGTACTGGAACAGAGGAAATTCCTTGAGGAAGGAAAGTTGAGCAGAACCCCAAGAATCAAGAGCTGGGTTTCCTCAGAACTTCTCTTCATCTGCTTCTTTCTTTCTTTCTTTTCTTTTCTTTCTTTCTTTCTTTCTTTGTCTCTCTCTCTCTCTCTCTGTCTTTCTCCAGACTCAGGTCCGCTTATCCGTCCACAGCCCCCAGGAAGCCCGTTTCCCCCCACTATTTCCCCTCAGTTCTCAAGAACCCATGGAGAGCTATCCGGACGACGTCCTGCCCGATGTCTTCTCCATGTTGCCATTGTTCGCCGATCTCACCACCTTCATGATCCAGCAAGTGATTCAGTTTGCAAAGGCCATCCCGTATTTTAGGTGGGTGGGGGTTCCTGGCGACGCTTCCCTGGTTGTGTTATTCTGGTTGGGCTTTGAGAATCCCCCCCCCTTAGCCAGCCTCGATCCCTGCCACCCGCCTCATCTCTCTTAAGTTTCTGATGACCGAAGGCGATTTGGGGGGCAGGCTCCTACGAAACTCTATGTTGTAGCAAAAAGCGATGGTAGGAGATGCCTTTCTCGGAGGACAGACACCCTACAAAGAGCTGCTAGCTTTCGGCCCTGCGGGCGTCTCTTCCTCAGGCTGGGCAAGGCGCCGAGAAAACTGGAGTGTTCCAAAAATCATGGCCACCTGTGCAGAACCGGTTCAAATAAATGCCGAAATGGGAGACAAGGCTGCAGGATCTGATCAGAGGTGGCCAGCAGCATGGCTTTTGGGAGGTGTCATCCGAAAGGACAAATCTGCACACCTCCGGAGCAGCAGTGGCCACCCTTGGGTCCCCCCAATGTTCTTGGACTACGACTCTGAGAAATCCTGGCCAGCCCAGCTGGTTGTGATGGCTTCTGGGAGTTGTAGTCCCAGAACATAACACACACCCCCTGGGGGACCCACGGTTGGGAACCACCGGTCTCGCCAGGACATCTTCTTGTCCCCTTCTTCCCCACCACTAGAAATTTGCCTGTCGACGACCAGATCTCGCTCCTGAAAGGGGCCACGATGGAAATCTGTGAGATCCAGTTTAATATGTTCTTCGACCTGGACACCGAGACGTGGGTGTGTGGCCCTCACAGCTACACCGTCGAAAGTGGTGTCCTGAGTAAGTTGCAGGAAGTTTGGGAAGTCCAACTCGTGTTGGGAAAGGGCTGTTTAGAGGACCCGCTTACCAACGATGCTGGGAGCTATAGTATCAAGGGGAAAAAAAGAACATTTCTAGGATTTCCTCACAAGATTCCTTTCCCCATCTAGGGCTGGGAGCAAGACAGAGAGCCAATTCTCAGAAATCTGAAGCAAGCAGCTATAAATAATTGTTGATTTGTTAATCCATGGCCCTAGCTGTAAAGATTTGATATTTTTTAACAACGGTAGAAGAAAGCCTTAACTGTCTTCTGGCACCTCAGAGACAGAGGCGTTTTATATTTAGTGCACACTTTTATGTACCTCAGCCCATTTGAGTAAATGCATCCAGGAAAGCTTACAGCCCATTAAACTCGTCAGTCTTAAAAGGGCCACAAAACTGTCCTTCTTTCTCGTAGAAGTCTTTAACAGGGCTGTTATGCGCCATCGAGTCAAAACAGACTTAGAGAGACCCAGAGAGATATTTGAGGGATGGTTTCAGCCGTTCTACCCCTCTCCACAAGTTTCCAGAGCTGAGTGAGGATTCGAACCCAGGTTTCTTGAGTCCTAGTCTGTCACTCCATCCACTGCACCCGCACTCAGTACTGGAACAGAGCCAACCTTGTGGAAATTTGAAAAGCCCCAACATCTGGAGGGATCAGGTGGTATTCCTGTGCCCTTGTGTGGCTAATCGATGGGGTGCCAGGGTAAAATGTGATTGGGTGCCTGATTGCCCAGTCCAAAGCTATGCTGGCGCCCCATCAATTAGCCACTTTGGCGAGTTATGCCAACCTTACTCAAACACCAATGAGATTCTAGCCTTTGCCTCAAAGTGAGCAAACTGGTTTCAGAAATCTTCATTTTTTCAAAAACCTGTAATTCCAGGATAAGAACCTGTGAGAACCACTGAGGGTCCCTAGGCTCTCTTACAATCCTGTCATGGTGGGGAAAGCAGCTCAGTGCCACAGGACAAAGGGAGGAAGTCTATAGTTTCTAAATAAATAAATAAATGCTGGAGGTGCGGTGATTTTACTGGCTTCTCCAAGTGAAAGAAACCACACTCCCCCTCTGGTGACAAAACCAAAGAGATCCCAAGGGATCTGTAAGGGTGTGTGTGTGTGTGTGTGTGAGAGAGAGAGAGAGAGAGAGAGAGAGAGAGAGAATTAGGCAAATTGGATTTCTGAAAAATCACTGGGGATTTCTGAAAAATCACCCTCAGCCTTCCACCATGCAGCTTGTGCAACAGAGTTTCAGCAATCATGTTACTACAGGTGTCGTTCAGAACAAAATCCTGGGGAAAAAACTGTTCCGGGTGTTTTGACTCATCAGGCCCCGGTGTCAGTACAACCGTGCTCGACATCCTGTCAAAAACTATGCTCCCCCTCCTGTCTTCCAGTTGGTTTCAAGGAAATCTACCTGGAACCGATACGGAAGTTCCACGTCAGCTTAAGGAAGCTGAATCTGCATGACGCTGAATATGTTCTCTTACAAGCTTTGGTGCTCTTCTCTCCCGGTAAGCTAACACAACTCTAGATTCCATCGTCCTTCCTTAGACACGGCGAATCTCAATACCCAAAGTTTGGGGGTGAGGATCAGTTTAAGAGCTGCCTTAGCAGCCCTCCCTCATTCATCTTATGTCCTCTGACATCAGGGCAAGAGGGAATCTGTTTTCTTAATGTCAGGATTGTAGCAAAATTCACCTGTCACTCCTGGCGGCTTCTGTCCGTGGAGTGGAACAGCAAAACGTCTTTAGCCAGCCTCGGTATTAGTCGTTTTCCCCTGCCGTCTTGGCTAGAACCAGATTTCGAACACTGCCAGATTTTGCTGACTGTTTTAGTTAACTCCAGTATGTTTGGGTTGTTATAGTCAAGATCTGAATTCCAGATCCTGCTGGGCCAGGATTTAAGCCTGGGAGATTTTAGAAGCCTGGTTTCATAAAAAATGAAAGGCTGTCTCCTTCGCCCGTCTGCCAGATGCTTTCCGCTCTGTTGATGGGCAAACCCTAAAGTCTGTTCATGCCTTTGTTTATCAGAAGGAAGGGGGAAACGGTGAAAGAGGGGGTAAGGAGTAAACATGTATAGGCCTGCTGAAGATCTGGCTGGGCCATGAAACTCACTGGGTGGCCCCAGGCTGTTCACACACACTGTGTCTCCACTTGACTTACTTCATAAGTTTGTTGGGTGTGTGTGTGGATAGAATCATAGGCACCGCCTTGATCTCTCTGGAATATACAAAGACAGACTTTCCATGTTTGTGAAACCAGACTTTAAAAGAATCCTGTGCTCAAATCCGGCTTAATTTTACAGTTGAGTGCTGAATGTTGTGACACTCAGATGCATTAAAGATTCCAATCACGGGCTATCTATAACGTCTGTTTCTGGTTATAATGGTCTCCGCCCCACAAAGGCATGGCATCTCCTAATAAATCTTCAAGGTGACACCAAATGCTTTATTCCTAAAACCCCAGTTTCCCAAGGGGCTCCTTCTTGCCTGTTCTACAGTGGACCCTCTACTTAAGGAATTAAAGTTTCCCACGGGGCTCCTTCTCGCCTGTTCTATAGGTGAAGGAGGCTGCTATCATCTCACCCTACCAGTCCCAAGATCTGTTTGTTCCTTAAGGCATGCTTGGGAGGGCCTCCCAGGCTTCCTTGGCCCAGGGGGGGGAAAGGCTTGCCTCTCTCCTGGAGGCTGCTATCATCCCACCCTACCAGTCCCAAGATCTGTTTGTTCCTTAAGGCATGCTTGGGAGGGCCTCCCAGGCTTCCTTGGCCCAGGGGGGGGAAAGGCTTGCCTCTCTCCTCCATGTCTCGTCTGCCTTGTCTCTCATTGGCCAAGCCTGCCACTTTGCAGATGACGTGACGGTCATGCAGCAAGAGGCCGTGGACCAGATCCAAGAGAGAATTGCGCTCGCCCTCAAAAGCTACATCGACCACTGCCACCCTCTGCCCGAAGGCAGGTGAGTCAGGTGTGTGTGTGTGTGTCTGCTTTGGGACATGCTATGTAACGCAGCTGCAACGGTACAGGCCAAGTGAAGAGAGAGACGGTGTGTCTACAATGGGACTACAATTCCCAATAACCAACAAGGCTGATGGTCCGCGATTCCAGGAATTATGGTCGAAAGCAGACATCAAGCTTGACTGAGTTGTACACAGCATGCCGGGAGGGCTTTTTCTTTAGGCCAGGGCTGATTTTGGAATTCAGTGAGAACCCTGTGTTTTTGATAGATGGTGGGAGTTGTAGTTAAACATCTGGTAATTCACCGGCTCCCGTTTGAGTTGCTTTCTTCCGATTTATAAGGCAAGCCCCTTTTTTGTTGGGAACCATTTCAGTACCACCTTAATCAATAACGCGTTGCATGTGGGTGGATCTCCCCACACCTTCTGCCTTTCTGACAGTACTCCCTCCCTCTTTTTAAGCTGAATTTCCGTTTCTCGCTTGGGGTGGCTCATGAATCGCTCCATGTTGCACATCTTTGCTTATTGAGTGGATTTTCTTCTTGTTATCTGATATGCAGTAGGACTCCCATATCCGCGGGGGTTTGGTTCCAAGCCCCATCACCACCACGGGTGATGAAGAACACTGATAGTAGTGGATACTATACACAGAATGTGGTAAAAGAAAAAAAAATCCAGAAAAAAAAGTATTGTCACATGTATTACCAGAACTGGCCACTAGAGAACAACAAGAATACACCATATATGGTCTCTGACTCCCTCTAGTGTCCAGTTCTGGTAAAACATTGTGCAAATACATATTTCTAGTTTTTTCTTTTAATACAGGTGTGCCCCGCATAGCGACGATAATCCGTGCAACAAAAATCGTCGCTATACGGATTCGTCGCTATGCAAAATAAAAAATCCCATAGGAATGCATTAAAACCCGTTTAATGCGTTCCTATGGGCAAAAAACTCACCTTTAAGCAAAAATCCTCCATACAGCCGCCATTTTCGCTGCCCGGTAAGTGAGGAATCGGCACAAAAACACAGCGGGTGGCCATTTTTTTTACTCGGCGGCCATTTTGGAATCGCCGATCAGCTCTTAAAAAAGCATCGCTATGCAAAAATCGGTAAGCGAAACAGCTTACCAATCATCGCAAAGCGATATTTTACCATTAAAAACATCGCAATGCGATCGCAAAAATGATCGCAAAAACTTAATCACTATGCGGATTCGTCGTTAAACGGGGCATCCGTTAAGCGAGGCACCACTGTATTTTTTAATATTTTTGGACTGTGATAAATTAAACCACAGATACTGATTCCATAGACAGAGACGCCCTATTGTACCAAATTTTTAAATAAATGCTTGTGCTGGCAATGTGCATAAGCAGCCAAACTGGCGCCCTTCAAATGTGCTGGACAATTACAATTTCTGTGGCAAGAGCTGCAGATCGACCAACAAGAAGAAATGCTGGAGTGAAGTAGGCAAAAGTTACAGTGGCTCTCTCTGCCCTCTGTCTTGTCTAGGTCCCTCTATGCCAAACTTCTCCTGCTGCTGACGGAGCTACGGACCCTGAAAGTGGAGGGCACGCGCCAGATTCATCATATCCACAACAGAGAAGGCTTAATCTCTATGACACCACTGCTTTCAGAAATTATCAGCTGAATGCTTCAGGATGGTCTGGTTTTCTTGCTTTGTCAGTTGCATCACCTTACAAACATCAAAATTGTGCTCACCTGGACAAAAAAGGCCCGGCTGGCGGGCTTCCTGTCATGGACAGGCCTAACTTCCCAGTAAAGATCAAGGCATCCTTTTTTCCCGATGAAGCCTAGAAGCTGAGCTTTCTCTCTGGGTGGTCACTGGGTGTCTGTAAGGTCTGGGTTCTGCAGATGGGGGCTCCAGACAAGGAGGAGCATGGGATTTGTAGTTCCAAAAATCTGAAATGCACGCCCCAAATCCTTCTGCTTCCAAAGACGTCTGCTGTGTTGTTGGACCAACAACTCCCATCAAGCTGAGGCCACCATGGTTGACTGGTGAAGGTTGCTGGAAGGAGTCGTTCAACCACATCCAGAGATCCAGGAACAGCCCACTACTGGTGTGGCGACATGGGGAGAGGTCTGCTCAGGAAGATGGGCTATAGAACCTTTTTGCAGAATCCTAAAGTTGAAATGCTGAGACGAGGGAACCTTGTGTCCGATGCCCTTTTGAGCTGGGGATCTCTTGGCACGTTAAAAGACTAGCAAATTTTACTTGGCTGAAGCCTTCATGGATTCTAGCCTATTTCTCCATACTCAGAAGGTATGCATTTTTAAATGCTAAAAGTAGATTTCTGATCACTTTGGCTTGTTTTCTTTTTCTTTCCCCACCTCATTTTTGGAGAAAGATGTGGCTCCGGATGAACCCGGGGCAAGAAGCTAGTCCTCATGAAGCTATCAAAGTTGCCCATCTCTGCTCTCCATCACAGACTCGTATAGAAATGTGACGCGTTTGTGCTTTACGCTACCGAAGAAGGCATTTTCTTCTCTCCCTTAACAGCACTTAAACAGTAGATTAAAAGGACTGCTGTTTTATTTCCATTTCTTGTATGGATGGCTCTTTCTTTCGTTTTAGATTAAAAACTCTGAAGTGTACAGAGTGTCTGCGCTCCCTAGAACAGTGTTTCCCAACCTGGCGTCCCTTCACCACTCGTTGTGCTGGCTAGAATTTTTGGGAGTTGTAGTCCAGGAACATCTGATCTAAAATAATGAAAGACAATGGTTATCCATGTGTGTACCTTCCTCCATTCTTCTAAGAGCATGAAACCCTAGCTGAGTATTTCACCCAGTGTATGATATTAAAGAGGATACACGTCTGACTGTGACAGATCTCCAGGACATAAAACTTTACCACCTGAAACTTGGTTTGCATATGGAAAGTATCTTTGTTTTCTCAATAACCCTGAGTAACTTCAATGAATGTAAATGTGTCCGTGTATATCAAGCCTGTAGTACCATTTTCAGTCACCCGGTGGTGGACTTCGCTAATCACTACATAGCTTTATCAATTTACATCATAGAACCATAGAATAATTGAGTACAAGGGGCCTATCAGGCCATCAAGTCCAACCCCCCTGTTCAATGCAGGAACCCAAATCAAAGCAGATCTGACAGATAATTGTCTAATCTTTCCTTCACCTTACCACCTCCTGAGGTAACTGGCTCCATTGCCATACTACTCATAACAGTTGAGAAGTTTTTCATAATATACCACCTAAATCTGGGTCTCTGTAGCTTGAGCCCATTATGATGTGTCCTGCACTGTGCAATGATCAAAAACAGATCCTGCCCCTGCTCTGTAGGACTACCTTTTAAATATTTGAAAAGTGCTATCCCATCTCCCCTCAGTCTTTTTTTCTCAAGGTTAAACATGTCCAGTTCTCTCCGTCTTTCCTCCTAGGGCTTGGTTTTCAGTTCCCTGATCATCCTGGTTGCCCTCCTCTGAACTTGTTCTAGTTTGTCGGCATCCTTTTTAAGGTGTGGTGTCCAGAACAGGACACAGTACTCAAGAGGAGGCCTAACCAGGGCC